CCCCCCACCACCACCACCACCAATCAGATTCAAACCTTCCTGAATCAGAAATCACTTGTCACTTCATTTGAGTTTTTTGACTTGGAGTATTGAAAAGTGTCAGTTCACTGACTCAATTTTGTGGACTCAGAAGAAACACTGCAGTCGAATGATTTGATTTATCGGTTTCCTGACTTGACCCTGGTGGACTCCGAAAATTCTGTTGTATCGGTTCACTGACTTGAGATATCAGATTTACAGTGTGGACGCCGTTAAATCTGTGTATGGGTTCACTGACTTGAGCTAGCTGACTTGGATCATTCGGATAGGTCAGTTCACTGACTCGAGTTAGCAGACTAACCGTAACCCCGCAACCCCCCTGGTGGATTCGGTTCACTGAATCCAGAAATGGCAGCTTTGGTAAGACATTCCCACTTCCAATCCTAAAGCTTTCCCTCTCATCCATGATCTGTCCTGCTAATCCAGCACATGGATTCGGGGATCTGGAGCTAATCCCGGTTGACTACAACCGAGGTGGGGGTCGTTCTGGAACGTCACCGAATGCTTAATAAGTCTCATTGTGTTTGGCGGCCAACCAGGAGAATTTGTGCCGTCCTGAGCCCATATCAAAGACTGCGTCACAGAAGGATGCTTTTCATCCGTCTGCCTCTTCAGAGAGCTTCCATGTGTTCACCTGGACCGTTATTCAGAGCGGATAATCACAAAGGAGCTGTTGAAAAGGAGAGAACGCGGTCTTAAAATGAAAGAAGGCCGTCCTTGTCAGGACGGCAGTGCTCACCGTCACCGTTGAATGATAAGGGGACTCATTAATGGACTCCATTGTGGCAACGTGCTCATCTGACAGCCCTTTGGGATTCCACACATGATCGCAGGCAAGACGACGCTACACGTCTACATGACTTGACATGACCCAGACACTACAAAACGGTCGATACCAGACTACATGACATGACATGGTACTAGAATACAGCATACATGACATGACACTTCATACAACAGGACATAACATGGCACTACAATACAACATGACACCGCGACCATACAACATGTTATGACACAACACTGACATGACTGGACACGGCATGATAATAGTACATGACACGACACGATAATACTTTGTGGCGCGACTCTACAATACACCACTTTGGGAAAGAGGTTAAAAATAACACTCCACTACGTGATAAATTGTGTGACTGTGTACACATTCATAGGCCGCGTCCTCCAAAAGCCGCATTTTTCGGCCGCATGGCGTCTCTTTCGGCGCAACTCGACCACAGGTGGTTTCCAAATTCTAGAAAAACAATTCTCAGGCTGGGTCCTTGGACGCCTTCGAAGGCTTCTCGTAGCCTCCGTCGACCCCATAAACCGTGGTGAATTTGGACAGACTTCATGTGAATTTGAATTCCACGTGCGGTTGGGATGCTCCGAAAGTGACGTCCTGCGGCCGAAAATGCGGCCTTCGGGGGACCCAGGCTCTGAATTTGGACACAGCTATGCCATTAGTATACTATAGTCACACTATACTAGAGAATACTACACAATACAATACGATACTCTAATACCGGAATTTCATAGCTTGGAACAAAAAAAAAAAGACCATGCTTCTCTACACATATATATATGCTCTTCAACACTATTCTATTCTGCTATAGAAGCAAGTGCTTTGTTCCCACATCATGCGCATTTGAGAGTATTGAAATGGGGAGTATGAGGAAACGTCAGCGGCGCTGGCTGCCAACGTTTGACCTAAATAGAGACGCGCTAACCTCATTCTGCGCCAGCAGCCCGGATCAACTACATCCGCTAATCCTGAAACCACATCTGGGAGCAGAGAAGGCCTCCGTCCTCCCTTTCCCGCCGTGCCGGGACAAACAAATCCATAGTGGGGGAGAGTTCAAGCGGGAGCGTTGACTTGGGTAAGATTAACGGAGCGCTTCTGATTCCACGGACATGACAATGACACATCGGGCTCTTTCCCAGCCACCACTGTACGTTGTACTGTACGCTATATTCATTTCATGATATCACTTACAGTCAGTTCCATTTAGAGATCATTTAGGGCTGCTGCTCTCATCCATTTGTTCAGCACTTTACTACACAACAATACACTTTACTGTTCAATACTATACTTTACAATGCTACACTATATTTTACTCCACTCATATCTCATATCATCATTCAGAAACTAGATTGTACTTTACTGAACCACCAGACCACTACAGAAGTCTATACTCAACAGTACTAGATGATCTACCCCAGGGGTCCCCAACCGCCGGGGCGCGGACTGGTATGGGTAATTTTGGGGGTTGCTAAAAAAATAATTTTAAAAAATGGGCGGGGGGGGGCGCACTCATATATACCGGTATATTATGCTGTGCTGTAGTTTGCGACACATTCTGATAGAACAGAATGATGATGATGATATATTTTCGAGCAGCTTTCTTTCTCGCCCACAAATGTTGTTGTCAGTCATCACGGAGCACGCGCCTCCTTTTACATCTGGATTTGTCCGCCTGCCTGGCTGCCAGCTCCGGGCCCGCCCCCCTCCATTACTCGCCTCCCTCCCTCCCATCGTCTCCCTCCACCGCTGCTCCACCGACTCATTGGTCCGCCTGCTTCTCCACTCGTGTCCCACTCGACACCCCTCGCCCCCCTCTTCGTCTTCTCCTTCACCACCTTGTTTTCACCTCCTTCCTCCCTCCAAGTCGGACTCATGTCACCCTGAGCGTGCGGATGACTCTCGTCCAGCAGCGAACTAGTTAACGAGCGGCGGCGGATGAGCCCGCGCCCGCTCTCCGGCAGGCAGCGCACCGCCACAGTACGAAGATGGCGTCGGAGGGAGCCAGCGGAGAGCAGCCTCCTTCCCCGGCACAGCAATCCCTGACCGCCGCCGTGCTGGGAAGCGTCGACACGGTAAGACGCCGAGGGGGAGCTTCGCGGAAAACACCTGGGGCCGGTGAAAGCGGAGGCGGGTGCGGGGGTGGCGTGTGGTGGGGCTCTTAGTCAGAGTCAGGGCGAGGAATGTCGCCCATGAATCAGCGGCGAGTGGCCGCTGGGCTCCTCACGTTAATGTCCGGAGGACAACAAGCGTCCGCGTCGCTTCGGCCCAGAAGAACCGAACCAGACAGCCCACCCACTCCATGAAAGATAGCGCCTCATGCATCGTAGCCGACCGTGACAATAATGACGAGGTTTACTTCAGCTTGGGTTCCTTCGTGATGGAGAATTCTTTTGTTCGCCTCGAGGCTTCTTCTTACCTTCGTGCCGTGATGGAGAAGTGACACATGAAATGGCTTCACGTTGCTAGCAGCGATGACATTTGCACACGTTTTGTCAAACTATAAGGCCTTCCCGAAATATTTGAAGTGTGGATGTGTTGACAGGTTAGTTTGTGACATGATGCAGGTTCTCAAGTGGATCCAAGCGGAACTTCTCAGGTTCCCTGGGAAGCGTTTGGACCCTGCGGAGGTGCTATTTCTTCAGTTGGCTGTGACCAGATGCTCCAGCTTCATTTGTTGACACACACCTACTTGCAGTGGTGCCAAGTAATCAAATACAAATATAGTTTGTGACTGCATTTTGGTAAATTTTCCAGGTGTCACTTCTCTACTCGAGTATTTATTTTCTTGACAATTTCACTTTTGCTCACTTGAAAACGTGTCCATACGTTGTATTCCCTATTTATGAAAATAATGACTACTTTAAGATTTTGAGATACTTCCAATCCATGGCCCAATCAATTACGTATCTTCTTCTTCTCCTTTCGGCACGTCCCTTTTCAGGGGTCGCCACAGCGAGTCATTAATTCCCATCCGTCCCTGCAAACCGCCCTACCAACTCGCATGTCCGTCTTAGCAAAAGTTTTACGCCGGATGCCCTTCCTGACGCAACCCTCCCCATCTCTCCGGGCTTGGGACCGGCACCGGGGAACAGTGTACCCCCAGGGGAGGGAACTGCTCCCCAGCGGCTGGGTTGGCCCAATCAATTACGTATATATTTTTTTAATTTAGCTCCAATGGCAAGTGCGTTTTGCCAACCTAAAAACCACCAGCTTCACTGTTTAAATCTGGAAAACCCCCCCCCCCCCCAAAAAAAAACGAAACAAAACATACAGGTATGGTATAGTTTAATTAGCTGAGTGAGTATTCAGTATGGGTATGTTAAATGAACTATTTTGTGTGCAGAGAAGGATGGATTTCCGTATAAAAATCTCGACCGATCTCACTCATGGTTGATTGTATCGGAATCAACAGCATAAAACCCCGATTGGTAAAGTAAAAATGAATTTTGAAATATTTTTTATCAATTTCAGAGTTGGCACCTTTGCATAAGTGTAGGAGTTGACTTCTTGACGAGGAGTACTTCTGCTTTTACCAGATTATTTTATGTACCCAAGTATCTGTGCTCGAATACTTGCAGCATTTCTGCCGACATGGCTTTGTTCTCGAGGGTTTAGGTGCCTGTCCATGCTGAAATGTTTTGCAGTGGAATCAATAATAAGGCTTTGTCTATTTTGACATTTTGTTCACGCAGACTCCGTGTTGTGACCCTACAAAAAAAAAAAGTGAAACAATGCTGTCATCATCCACTTTCGTACCATATGACAAACATGTACAGTGTAAACTTTCACGCTGCATTTTCCTACATTCGGAAAATGAATCGATGTCGGCATTTGGTTTGTCACATGAAATTTCTGACAGAGACATTTGGGAGAAATGTGGGTCAGGTGTCAAAATATCCCAATTGCGCATCCTGCTCTTACAGGGACAGGACAGTGACAATTGTGGCGAGTTGAGTATCGGGTGCTTAACTTCAGTCTGGTAGCGGCCGACGCTCTTGTATGTTTCATTGATCAAGATTTTTTTTCCCGTGTTTTGAGATTTCCTGTTTTATTGTCAGTCCTTGAATGCACCTCGTGGACCAAAAGTGAAACTGAAATTTTCTGCTTCTCTCCCAATGTAGCTAGTAATCACCTCTGTAGCTGACATTGCCATTACAATTTCTCTGTATTCGCTAACATTTCTTTTTTATCATGTGTCAATGAATATTTTAATGACTTAATAGTGTCAGTGTAAAATTATTTATTTGTTGATATTTTCATTCAACTTTATACGAGCTGCTTTGCGTGCAAGCTCCCTTGCAATTTTCTGTTTGGATTTTGAAACAAAGATGTCTATTTTCTAAAATTGAAAACAAAATGTAAACAAGTTGCAAATCTGAAAAGCTGGTTTGTAGACATCTCCTTCGACAAAGTCAAGTGTTGGGAGTTTGTACGACTCAAATTTTTGACCCCATTAATTTCACCGCAAACGTATATCAGCTCCAACTGTCGGTTATCGACCTCTTTGATGACTAATA